ACGATTGGGGCGAAAGTGGAGTGGAAATTAGAGGATACGATTAAAGTTGTCGTATATAATATAATCCCTATGGGTAACGAAAGCAAATTCCTTATCCTTAGTTACTAGGAGGATCGAATAAATTAGGGTATCGCTTTATTATTTACGAGAATACGTTGGAACGATTTAGTTTTAGTTTTCTGGTGAGAGAAAAACTTTTAAAACTGTTCGGGGGAAAAAAGAGTTTTGGAAAAATTGTGGTCGGTTTCGTGCTTTACTCGAAAAATTCACGAAAGGGGATTAAAAAAACAAATTTATCCCGAAACTATCCGACGGTTCTGCACGAGGAAAATTAAAAGATACAACGTTTACCACCGATCGAGAGAGAATTTGATTTTATTCGACAAAATATCCAAATTATTTTTCATCCCATCAGAATTCCATATAAAATAAACAAATAATATTCCATCGTAATTTCGAAGCTAACTTGTCTACGACCTTTTTTTTTAGAATACGTTCTAGTTATCGGAAAATGCAGTTTGCCAAAAAAAAAAAGAAGAAAAAAAGAAAAATCGGGAATCGTTGTTACCCAAAAGTTTAAGTAGCCCTTATACCGTTATGCGTTATAATCCACAACTCTTGTAGGTTCATCGATTATCGAACGCGTTGTAATTTTATTCCGATAACGAGACTGCAAATACAATACCCGCGACCAGTAACTAAGACATGGGGTAAGCTTCTTCATGCATATGTACCTTTCATCGGATCGTTGAATTGCGGCGATGCACTTTAAAGACGATAAACGCACGCCTCGAGAGACGTACATCCACGGAATATGCAGAGAAGAGTTTACCATTCATTATTCGAGCATGGTTCCGTAATATCCGTAGAATCCTGACAGTGATTACAACAGCGACTAACTTCCGTTGTACCGTGTCCCGGATGCGCAAGTTTATCGTGCTTTCGGATCAGCCAAGGCATGAACATGCATCAACATGCGGTAGACGTATTCGCAATGCTCGGGCGAGAAAAAATTATTTCCTTCGGCTGTAAAAGCGCGTAGCGTTGATACTTATTAAATAATCCCGTCGATCTTCTCTGGCGAAAACTCGACGACGATCAAATTCGATAATTAATATTTTTTTTTTTTTTTTACGAACTCAGAGAACTTACCGATTCCAAGATTATATCCGACACGATTGGACGTTGGAAAATTTCCAGAATTATACTTTATAATGTCGTTACAATAGTTTAGCGATTAATCTCCGGAATCCTTCTATTCTTCACCCGTTTTCTCTCCACGAGCCAGTCAAGTAGCACGAAAAGGATAAGGGCGCGCGAAATCGAGGCTTTTGACCCTTTCCGCGGGGTAACAGCGGGGAGACCGGTGTTCACAGGCCACGGTAATCCAACTCGGGGTATCCGTAACTTCAGCGCCGGCATGAAAACCAATTAACCCGGCGACATCAGCGTGACCGGAGCGCCGGCTATCAGTCGGCTGTAATCGGAACACTTGGAAAATTAGCAAGGCCCTGGAAAATGCTTCGGCTCGTTAGCGAAGCCGACACCGTAATGCATGGGATGCTAAAATATCCGAATCATATCCGCGATGCGATTCAATTTGTTACGGTCAAACATTTGGAATACCTCGAAGTCTTTCTTTTTTTTTTTTCCCCTCCGTTCCATTTTTGAATAACGTATTTCGATCGAGAAAAGAGATTCGATGCGTTTCAATTTTCCAGGAGGAGAAGACGAAAGGTAATTTTAGATAATTTTTCGAAGTAATAGATGGTTCGATCGGATCGCTTAAGGGCCTTGAAACTATAATCAGAGAGGCATCGTTCAATTGTGAGAAAGAGTTTCTTCTAAACGGGCGGAGGGGCGAGGATTAGTACGTTTTCGTTGTTTTGGAATTCCAGACCGCAAATGGAGGTCAAGGAGGAATTCTGGATGGCACGTTCGTCCCAAAGGCACGGAATAGATCGTGACCTATAAACGAGCAGAGGTTCTCGACGCCCTGGCAAGCTAGATGGCGGCGAAGGATACGACGGCGTTCCTCCGCTTTACCACCGGAAACCAAAAAGAAAGGGACGGTGGAACGTGGACGGAGAAGAGGTTGGGTACACCTTGAAATTCGCAAGGCAAACAGAACTATTCGTCTTTCTCTCTACCCAGAACTATCTCCTTGGAATTTGTCTCGGGGATACTCGGGAAACGTAGTCATCATCCCATGGAACGTTTCTTCTGGATGGACTCTCGTGTGTGTAGTTTCGGATATAAAAGAGAATAACCACCACGTTACGTAGGCAACAACCACTATGTTATCCCGCTATGTTAATCCCGAGATTTAGATTTTTCTCTCGGCCCTCGCTATCTTTCCATTCTGTTTCGTGTGCCGATGTTACCCTCGAATTACCCTCGATATAAGAGGATAAAAGAAATTTCGCTCCTCTTTCTTCTCCTCTTCCTTTCTCCAAAAGACGCGAATATTTCATTAATAAATAGTTAAGAACTTGTACTTTTTCTCTCCAACGTTAACAATGTGACTCGACGATCGATGCGGGGAATCGGACAGAAAGTTCTTGAACCGTTTCGATCGATCGATTCCGAATATTAATTAATATTGACTTTCTCCGTGGAAGGCGGAGATCAAGAATCATCGATGAGTTCACGCTCGAGAAGGAAATTGAGCTTTCAGATAGAGTTCGTTTAATTAAAATAGTTGGACCATGTACGAAGTTTCAAGCGAAGGGAAAGTCATCGAATCTTTCGTATATAAATTTTCTAATCGAATATCTCCTTTAATTGAATGTATGAGAAAAATGTGTATAAAAAAATTTATTACCATCTTGACGGAGGATAAATAAAGAAGAAAGTAAGAAATATTTGGAAATCCATCGTGCATAGAGCATGATTTATCGCGTAAGAGTAGCAATTTCTCGTTCGTCGAGCACAGTCGAGGAGTTGTATTCCAAGATTCTCGTCTCGAGGGATCGAAATACGAATACGATTCCCAACAACGCGTGTTTACGCATATCATAGGAATTTCAAAGACGTGTGCTCTATATAGTAGTAGAAAACCGATGAAATTGACCGTGAGCCGATAAGTATCTCTCGATGAGAAAAATTCTAATACACGTCCCGATACGATGCAAATTAATTTCTTCGCGATTTCTTACCGATATTATGCCGTTCTTCGAGTAGTCATATAATTGAAAAATTAAAAAAAATAATCGTGCTTCAAGGGTGAATTAAAATCGAAATAAACGAATGTTGGGTATTCACGACGAAAATATGGGGGGAGGAAGAAATGGAGCGGTTTAAAAGTTCGACGATTTCGTTCGAACCGAAAATTAGCGATCGATCAGACGGAGAAAGGCGATATCGAGACAAAGTAAACCCTTCCTACCTCTCGAGCTGGACCGTTCCTTTTATTTCGCTAGAACGTCGCCGGCAAATCTTATTTAAGGCAGATTTATCGCCGGCCCAACCCTGAGATCGAGCTATGATATTACGCCGGACTCGGATGCGCCATTCACATCGCGACTCCTCGACTCAAAAAGTGTCATAACTCAAAAGCCGAGCGCCTCTTCGAGCACTTCCGCCGCTCCAGCACATCGTGTGCCAGAATCCGTCCTCTTCCCACGTACTCTGCTCCCCCGCACAACCATTTCACTCCGCGACAGAGCAGATAGAATCCTGTACTTTTTGTTAATAACGCAAGGATCGCTTTCGCCCGGATAAAAAATTCCCGGCCGATATTATTTCCAACCACTATCCGTTTCCCCGCCCATTTTTCACCCAACCATATATAATCCATCGAACGCGAGGATGATACTCTCGAAAATACTATCCAAAAAAACAGCTTAATCTCGTGAAGCTTGGCCGAGAAAATTGGCTACGAAAAAAAATCTTCCGTAAGAATGCAAGATCCGTGTTTCGAGATTTTGAAATAATATCGACGTGACACGTATACGAATCTCGTGTATACGTGGATGTAAGTCGTTGAGCTATCTCGAAAGTTATTCTCGTTGGGGGGATGCGTAAGCACGCGAAAGCACGGGTGACGAAAGTGGAGACGGTTTCCGCAGCTCGAGACACCGAGTTACGATAATCGCGTTTCTAAACAATTGCAACGTAAGACGGGAATCTGGGACGAAATGGAGCATGCGATCGCCCGAGTGGAGAGGCGGCGTTCGAGAAGAAAGTGGAAACTTGTAACGCAATTTTCGGGATCCGTGGTGCATAACGATCGATCGATTCCACGATCGATACGCGTGTGTCACCTAGGACGAAGAAACAAATGCCTTTCCTGCGTTCCATTTTTTCGCCCTCTTTCCCAACCGACTCCATTAGCGAGCCAGGATTGGCTAATGTGCGCTCGACCGAGCATCGCGCCACGCTTTTTGCGGCCCCGGCCCGCTTGAATAATTGTGTTTTGCAACGTCTGCACCGGCAAAGTTCCGGGCATGGGTCCAAAGAAGAATTAAGCCGAGGGAAACTTTTTAAAGTGGACCTATAAAAGGGAGAATATCGGCCGGATCGGGTTATTCAGTTTTCGGCCGATCGCGTGCGAATTCTGGATACCGATCGTCCACAGTCGTCGTTTTACTCGTCGTTGCGCGGCAACAGTGAATCCGGCGCATCCGTCGATATGGCTTTTAAAGTGAGTGTGCACGCATCGACCGTTCCTCATTTTTCTCTAATCGTGACGATGGGGTGAAGTTGACGAGTGGCGCGACCGATCGATCGATCGTTTCGTACCATTTAATTATAGGTTATGGACGGTCCACTGCGCTAACACCAATCCTTCTGTCCGAGTTTGCCGAGTGTCCTATCGATTTTGTCCTCCTCGCATCGGCGAGGATTAATCACTTTGCAAATTAGAAATTCTTCCCTAAACGTTAAAAACCTTTTTTCCCTCCCTCAAAATTTCTCCAAACTCGTTCAAATTTCTCGCGTAATCTTCTTTCGCGTTTAATCTAGCCATGGATGGAGAATTAACACTTTTTCCCCAATAGTTTGTAGCGCTTGTTTTAGCTTGGTCGGCCCTGTTCGACGGGAAAACGGAGGCAGCCGGTCACGCGCACTCTTTCCACCATTTCCACGGACCTGTGATAGGGGAAGCTCGAGAAGTAAGTTGGAAGGACAAGCACGGCCACCACTATCACGATTACGTGGCACATCCGCGTTACGAGTTCTCGTATGGCGTGGAGGACCATCATACAGGCGACTATCACGGCCAAAAGGAGCACAGAGACGGTACGTCGATACATAATACGATCCATCGAAAGAGAAAAGATTGACTTCGCGTTAGAATCAACAAGGAAAGAACAAGGAGGGAGGGGTGTATAACTCGGTTACGTGTTAGAAAAATTGCGATGCGACGCAATCGAGAAGAAGTCGACGAATGTACACATCGAAGGAGGGAAGAGGGATGGCCTGATTGCACGAATAAAAGTGGCAACGTGATCTTTGTACGACGGAAAACTTTAGAGCGTCGCGATGTGAATATCGGGGGGAAGACGTTTCGTGGCATCTCGTTCTTCTCTCGAGAGCTGAACCTCGTCCTCCGCTGATTCCATCCTTGGAAAATTTCTAGAATCCTTGGTCCTCTTCTTTTAATTAGTTTACCGTGATTCGAAAAACGTCCCCCGAGCGCATAGAAAACGCTTTCGAAAGTCGTCTTCGTTTGCGCACTCTTTCGAACTCGAGGGTTTCGTGTCGGCGAGTCTCCTAACAAACCACCTCCAACCACCTTCTTCCACCTTCGTTTCTACGTAATCGGCCTAATTAAAATCAGCCGGTGGCCTACATTAATGACTCTTGAATGTCGAAAAGGAACTCGTTTCCACCAGGATAGTTTAAATGGGCATCGTAGAGATAATTTTGAACGGGTTCGAGTGATTTTTTAATTTCGATGAAATATTAAATTTCGATTAAAAAAAAATTGTTCGCGATGAATATATTCGCTCGAGAGATAGCGGGAATATTTTCGAATATTTCACGTTTGGAAAAATAATAAATTTGCCTCTTTCCAAGACCGGTATTTTTCTCATTACACGTCTCTTTTTTACGAATCTGTCATTGAAGTACGACTTCGACTCTCAATACGCTTAACGAGATCGTAATATCACGGGGGAAGATAATTGATCTTGATTTTCCAGATGCAAGGTCTCAACTTGTCATATCAAGATAAGTAAGCAAATTTCAAAAAAAAAAAAAAAAAAGGAACGCGAGCGTGAAACGTTGAAAGAATAAAGAGAATATTATAAAATTTTTACCTTCGAAGCTCTCCCCCAATTTTTTCGAAATGAGATATGCGCGTAGTTTCGATAATTAACCGAGAAAGCGTATTTACTTTGAAAATATACAATTATGCGTACGATGTTGCCACTGACGAACCTACATTCCCAACTATATTCACTAACTAGCTACACCTTACCTACGAATGCTATTTGTACATGAGTTTGACATCTCTTCTCTGTACTTTAGACACATGTCTTGAAGTTTCACAAATAATTTTGAGGATGGTATAATCAACTGGATGTATCAAAACGAGTATACGTGTATATATCTCTACATATACATTTCAAGAAAATTATTCGATGAATTATTCGAAAATAATCGACTTGTACGGAATTAATTTTTGTAAAGTAATTAAAATATTTGTTTTTTCCGAAAGCTAATCGTAATATTCCTTCCCATTTTTTTCTTTTAATTCAAATAAATTACGATTAACTTTCGGTTGAAAAATCTTCGCTTTGAAAAAAAAGAGAAAAAGCATAAAATAATTCTCAATTAAATCCCTTTGCCACTTGCGATAACGAGAGGAAACGAAAAATTATTTGTTGCTTCTAACCACACATTTCGACTATTTATTTCACATTCGATACAGTTCTATTTTTTTTTTTTTTTTTTTGTTTTTTGCAGGCAAAGACGTTGTCGGTGAATACACGATAAAGGAGCCCGGTGGTAACATTAGAACGGTGAAATATCGGGCAGGGAAGAATGGATTTTTCGCTCACGTTTTCAACAGCAATGGCAACGACCACGATGGAGGCCACCACCATTAAGCTGGGCGTCATCATCCGTTACCAAAGATTTTCTCGTTACGTTGCGATTGTTGTTGTTGTTGTTATGCAACGTTGATTGTTTCGTTTTTGTTGCACTGATTAAAATAAAGGAAAAAAAAAAACAAAAAACAAAAGAAAGAGAGAGAGAGAGAGAGAGAGAGAGATCGAAACATTTGCCAGTTTAATTCGTTCCAAATCACTTGCCCAATTAGCAGCGGAAAGGCATCCGATCGCAGAAATTCGTAGACCGAATCGAAAACCGATGTACGCCGGGAACCAATGAACGGCATCCTGATTCCACGGCGAGCCATGTTTTTAACGGAAGTGACGTTTACTGATTGACAATCCGATCGTCACGGACATATGGATCTCCCCTGTGATTACGTATCCAGGCTTACCTGGAAACAACAACCGGATGCGATGCGTGTAAATCGATCAGAAGCTTTTCCAAATTAATGAATCTCTTGACTTTAAACAGCGTTACAATCCTTTGCGATTGTATAATCGTTCGAACGAAATAAAACAGAAGTAAGAGAAAATTCTTTTTATTCGCTGAAATGCAAATGATCAAATCGGTCAATTGTGATTTTGAGATTGTCTCGTAATGTAATAATGTAAATAAGTTTGAATACACTTTGTTCTATTGGTTTACATATCAATATAGTTGTTAATATATTTTTCAAAATGAGGCAAATTATCGTTTATAATAAAATGTATATATAGTAACGAACATCAAGATTCTCAATTTATTTCAATATAAACACCGTGCACTCGAAATATTTATAGTGTAATTTGAATTGGAGTAATTAAGCGACATAGGAAGGAATGTCGCGTAAATGGGATCTAATCGCGGCTAAACTCGAAGAACAGGCGGACACGGTTGAAATACCACTCGTTAACGACACGCGAACCTAAATGTGGCAAATCGATTCGCGAACAGGTAAATGAGACGCACTTAATTGCGTTTAGGCACAATACCTTTCAACCGCAACGAGTATACACGCGTGTGTGCCGCATTTACATCGTCACAAGCGCACTAATTTCGTTCGCCGGGAAAACGCGTTGTTCCATTCATCAGGTTGAGGTGGAACACGCGACAAAAGAATTGCAGGAAACTCTTACCATCGAACGAGCTCCCTCAACCTTTGCATCCGATGCATCCACCGGATCTCTCTATGTATTCTCCTAAAACGAACGGTTATGACGACGACGACGACTACGACTACAACGACGACGGCGACGGCGAGACGAGTTTTTCACGGTTTTTTCCAAAGGCTGTGTGTCACGTGCGTTTCCGTACTTAACATTTTCCCGTGCAGCATGAAACTAGATTACGCGGTGCGCAACACCGTCAGATGGAACAACAATAATCCGGAATAGAGCGATAAAAATGTTGCTGTATAAACTAGCCGAGAAACGGCTATGAATGACAATCCACCGTGGTAACTACCGTGTAATCTTCCCGAACGGATATATGAAAAAGAAAAATCAATAAAACATGTGTTGTTATTCGATAGAATAAAAATATTATTTGACGTATACCATGGCAAAGCTACTGCTTTTATTTACAACGGATGTTACCGATACCGGGTTCCGCCAATTTTAATGAAATTTAGTTGGGTGGTGAGAGCCTACACGCGCAATGAATATAATCGGAATTTTAGCCGCAGATATATCCATTCACTCGGTCGGAAAGTTATGAAAAAAACGAATTTCGGTTGAACAAATGGAAATTGAAAGTATCGTGTTTGCCTCTGTATCGCGCGGTTTCCAATAAAAAAAAAAAAAAAAAAAACGTTAATAGGTCTATCTAGAGCAGATATGCTTTTATAATTATAAAAATAAACGTGAAATATAAATAGAACGTTATCCACATCTCCGAAGCGATGAAATAGCAAACAACAGCAGCGGTACTTCGTTTTTTCTCTCCACGCTTTAATTTCTTCTATCCGTCATTTCAAAGTCGAGAATATCTTCACCTTAATTCGCAATTGCAGTAATAACGTAATTTCAAAATTCTCTTTTTCATAAGTCTCTCGTAATAACGAATATATTCGTTAACCCAACCTTTCAGCAATTTTTTTTTTCTTTTCTTTTCTTTCTATTTCTTTTTTTTTCGTTTCTTTTTTTTTTTTTTTATACGTAATTAACAGAAAACTCACCGTTGCAATTAGTAGAAACGTTGGCCAAACGTTTTAAGAACACCCTGTACTGCAAACATACGTATTTCGTTGAAATAGCTTCCATTCTCTCCCGGTAAGCAAAGATATTACCGCAAACCGGTGGTTGGGCTGTATAGAATGCGGCAGAGGTGTGTGGTGGGATAATCTTATACCGGCGCGGAAGAACTCGGGGAATTAACGCGGGCTGAAAAATTTACGGCACGAGGTATTCAGCAAATTGAGAAACACGGATATAATAATCGTGAGCGAAACGACTCGAGCTCATAAACGAATAATATTAATTTAATACACGGCCAAAGTAAGTAAGTACTTATATAATAATGAGATACTGGCGATGTAACGAGTTTGAATCGGAACGGTGATTTACAAAATTAATTACTCGATATGCGCCGACTCCTGTAAATGTACAACCCGACGTTGTACCCATTGTATAACGCGAAGCGTTTCGATTTCTTGTGTATACTCTTGCATAACGTAGCTACTATTGTTGAAATTTTACGAGTTGTAAATTACGGAATCCTGATAAATTCTATCGCGTAACAATTTTTTAAAAAATCAATTTTAAATGGTCCATCGGATGATAAAAATTTCTTAATTTCAAAAGAGATATCTCCCGTTTAAAATTTAGATAAAATTTGTCGACTCATCTGTATTAGATTAATCGGTGAATGCGGCGCGGAATATAGCAACGAATTTAAAATAAACGATAGAAACGAGATAGGATCCGATAAATCGATTAAGCGGGCAGAAAATATTTTTGCGGTAATTTCAAATTGAAATTTCTCTATTTCGTTGGTCGGAATCGAGTCGTGATATTCCTATGATTTCAATAAACGCCCGTCGAGATTAATGGACGATTGTTATAGGTAATTAATAGTGTTCATCCGTATTTGACGGCCCATTCAAATTAGTTATCATTGTTCCCCCATCCTTTGTTTTATCGTGCTCCTTCGTGCACGGAATTTTCTTTGTCACGGTTATTCCGAAGTTGTTGAATAATCTTCACCGGGCTTTTCCGGGATAAAACGGCAACCCAATGAGGCGAAAAGCGGGGGAGAAAACGAGTAGAATAAGTGTTTCCTTTGTTTCGGTCTTCGGAGTTGTTGAAATAAAATATCACGGAAATTAATTTCTTCTCTGCACAAGTATCGTTGATATAAGTGTCGGCGTTTGTTTTTAATTCCGTTCGACCATTGGGTACCGAATGCTTTCGGGACGGGAAAATATTAAGACGCGAGAATTGAAAATAATCTTTTTCTTTTATTTCGAAACTCGGTTACAACGGCTATGTATACCGAGAGAAATTCAACGAGCTTCCGAGATTAAAGGGGGAAAAAAAGCACCAGTTTTTCAACTATCTCAAAGTTCACGGGAAAAAAAGAAACGAAATATTCGATACGAAAGAGCGATGCAATTAAAATCAAAAAATTGTTTACAACGTATCTTGATACGGTTGTAGGAGGAGAAAAAAAAAAAAAAAAAAAAAAAAAAAAAAAAAAATAGAATAAAAAAGTATCATCTCGGGGAAACGAATACGAATTATCACATGTATACGGATGTCGCGAATTCATCCCGTTGCCAACTTATATTTTTACACCGAAGCGATTCGAGGCTTCGTTAAAACCCTACCGTTGATGTAAGCGCTTTTACCCCGTTGTTCCGTCGAACAAAGGAGAAAATTAAAATCAAAATATTCCAGCCGGGGAAAGTTTATTCAGAAACACACCGTTTCCTCATTTAAATCACGAGATAATTCGTAGCGTGGGGTATTGTGCTTTCCTCCTTTCATACGTCGTTGTAAAAATTCGAACTTCATTCCGAGTTATTGTGCCGTGTGCTTTCTTGCAACTTTAAACCTCTCTTGATTTAGAGATTCTTCGGTTTTTCGAGCTCAGACGGCCGAAGAATACCGGGATCAAGATTTGTTTATAAAGGAATGAAACGCTTTATTGTTCTCGTTTCACGCGATATCCCAGGACTGTATGAAACCGACGGGAGTGTGACGCCGCGTCTCTTCATTTCTCTTTAATTCCATTTCATCTCGCGTCCAAATTCCTCCGCCCAAATTCTTCTGCTTCCATTTATTTCGCGTACGCGTCGACTTGCAAAAAGGAAAACAACGAAAAAAAAAAGCGAGAGAGAGGGAGAAAAAGAAAATATATCGGAATGTCGAACAATAACTCGAAACAACTACCCGTAAACTTTAGACACGCGTCTCGCTCGTCAAATGCAACCCCGCAGCCTCGAACGATTCGAGGAAGTACGACTTCCGCTTTATGAAGTTTTCCAGATTCTCTCTTTACCTTTCGCCGCCAACAACGAAACTTTGAAACACCTGAAATTTCCGAACGATTTTATTGTGAACGATAGCGTACACGAAGCTTAAACTTTCGAAATAAAAATAATAACGTATAGAAAGATATAGAGGAATGATACGAAGGCAATGGATTCGTGAAAAAAATCGAAGAATTTGAAGAAGATACGTTTCCTCCTTTCTTTTTTGTACCACGTTTATCGAACTAATTAGACGATAATCAGGGGGCGGAAATTGCGAAGCGAAACAAACAAAGAGGGTATTTAATCGTGCTCGTTGATGTGAAATTGCTTAATTTTATCATTTAATTAGAAATCTCTATTTGTGCATCGTGGAAAATTAAAACGGCGGAACGAAAGCTTTATCGAATGTTAATATCGTCCTTTTGAAACTATACAGCTCTCTCTCTCTCTCTCTCTCTCTCTGCAAAACAAATTTTAATATTTTAATAATAATCTGAAACGACGCGTTTACGTCAAATATACGAAAGTGGTTACTTCCATTATTGAGAATTCCATTTTATGATTTAATTTTTCTTTTTACGTTTTTATACGTTTTCACGAATATTCTTTCAACGTTTGGACAG